GTTGTGGAATAACAACCATTATCTATACTTATGGGGCATAAGCAATTGCAACACTGATCCAAAAACTTTTACATCCAGTTCGAGCATCGAACCCAGAACCATTTGGTTGTGAATCGACAGCACTATAACCACTGCGCTACAGGTCCTCATTCTCTCGTATTTAAACATTACATGATGCGTAACTAACCTGGTTAATAATGTTCTAGTTCAGCGGATGATGTACATGACTGACCGGATAACACGTACATCGCCGGATAACACGAACATCGCCGGATAACACGTACATCGCCGGTTAACACGTACATGCAGACAATGAGTTACAATAACGAGACTGAAGAGTTGACACCCAACTCACACATCAGAAAAAATGAGGAAACGACGACATTTCGGTCCGTCCTGGACCTTTATGTAATATTCCACGACTCACAGGATGAGTATGGAGTGCGCAATAAGTCTCACAGGATGAGTATGGGTGCACAATAAGCCTCACAAGATGAGCTGGGTGCACAATAAGCCTCACAAGATGAGTATGGGTGCACAATAAGCCTCACAAGATGAGCTGGGTGCACAATAAGCCTCACAAGATGAGTAGGAATGCACAATAAGCCTCATAGGCTGAGTATGGATCCACAATAAGCCTCATAGGCTGAGTATGGGTGCACAATGAGCCTCACAGGATGAGCATAGGGGTACACAATAAGCCTCACAGGATGCGTATAGGTGCACAATAAGCCTCACAGGATGAGCTGGGTGCACAATAAACCTCACAAGATGAACTGGGTGCACAATGAGCCTCACAAGATGAGTATGGGTGCACAATAAGCCTCACAGGATGAGTATGGGTGCACAATAAGCCTCACAGGCTGAGCTGGGTGCACAATGAGCCTCACAGGCTGAGTATAGGGGTGCACAATAAGCCTCACAGGATGCGTATAAGTGCACAATAAGCCTCACAGGATGAGTATGGGGTGCACAATAAGCTACCTCTAACAAAGAAGTGTTGAGGCACCCAGTATATGAGGCTGTTTGTGTTGCACATCACCGAACAGAATGAAAGGGAAAACAATGACAGGAAGGAAATTTACTGGCAGTGTGCTATTTTGGGTATTAGACAAGAGTAGAATTATAAGTTAACGTGGGCGTTTATGAGCAAAAACCAATGAATACGTATTAGAGACATTAGGGAGAACTTTTTCAGTGTCACAGTAATTAGTAAATGGAATGCACTAGGAAGTGATGTGGTGGAGGCTGACTCCATACACAGTTTCAAGTGGAGATATGATAGAGCTCGAGAAGCTCAGGAACCTGTATACCAGTTGATTGACGGTTGAGAGGCGGGACCAGAGCCAAAGCTCAATCCCCGTAAGCACAACTAGATGAGTACGTCCTCTCAAACCAAAAATAAAAGCACATCAACAGGATCTCTTGAGTACAGTGGGGTTCGTTCTCGACTCACTGTCGGGAATGATGAGTTCCAATTCCGGCCGGGACAGAAATAGCTGGGCATGTTTCCTATCACCTAATGCCTCTTTTCACCTAACAGTACATAGATGGAGCTAGTCAGGTCTTGCAGGGTAACCTAACGTATAATAATTATCATACGTTATTATTTTATAATAACATATTATATAATAATAATTATTATACGTTATTATTTTATAATAACATATTATATAATAATAATTATTATACGTTAGGCTTATATCGAGGTCTTCCCAAAGTCAAACTATTATTATTATAAATCATTATATACAGATTTAAATGATTTAATAAAATATCTTGAACTTCAACATTGGGTAAACTTAACCTTGTGTATTATCTTCGGTAAGTAAAATATGGGTATATTAAGTTCTCTTTCATATATGTCATTTCATCTGTGCAGTTTGTAACTGTTGCCATGTTTATTGTTGCACACCTCTCCTCGTTTTCTGTTTCATCTCCCTTGACATCTCTGAGTTCTGTCATATCTTCTACCTTCGAATTTGTTATACCTAAGACAAGCTGAGTCTGATTAGAGTCTGATTTCGCTACTTCTCTCCCTAATATATTTTGTTTTATTTATGCTATGTGTGTTTGTGGCTCTACAAGAATGTAAAATACCAATATGTACTCTCACAAACCCATTGTACCTACTTGTAAATAAATAAATAAATACATAAATAAACAAATATAATCTAATAATAATCTAATTTGTAATAATTTGTAAATCGGCCGGGCTTGGGGAGTAGAAGGTCTTATCGACATATAGGACTCTACTCCTGAAGACATGTCATTTAATACATTTATTAGAAATAGAGCTGGTCCCAACACCGATCTTTGTGGTACTCCACTCGTTACTGTTCACCAGATTGACTTCTCGCCCCTTACCGTTACTCTTGGGGTGTACTTTCCTAGTTGTGCTTGCCGGGGGGGGGGGGGGGGGGGTTGAGCTTGGGCTCTTTGGTCTCGCCTTCTGTCAATCAACCGGTGTACAGATTCATGATAATGTTTGTTCGTGTTGGTGTGTTTCTGAGTGTTGGCTGGGTTTACGATTTACTAATTTTATATATATTCAAGAAAGTACATTGGGTTTATGAGAGTACATAACACTGATACTTTTTACATTCTCGTAAAGCCACTAACACGTATAGTGTTTCGGGCAGGTCCTTAATCTAACAGATAATTTTAAGTAGGTAATTTCTAGCAAAATTGAGAAATGTTAACAGGTACATTACAACTTACATTATAATAAATTTTACATTACATTATAATAAAATTTTACGAAGATTAATAGGTACATTATAGTAAAATTTGAGGATTATCGGCAGGTACATCGCAGCATACTTTGAGGATTATTTCTAGGTATAATGTAGTTAAATATGTGATCAATATAACAACCATGATATAAGATGATATCAGTGATTATAATGGTGAAGTTGAATGGCTTAGGCACATATATTGAGGAAGTGGGTAACACAAGATACAGTGCGAGTTTAAGGCACTTAAGGAAGGAAACTATAAGGATGAAATTAAGTACATATATATTTTATTTTTTCATGAGGCGTAGGTTGGAGAGTTTTTCAATTCGTTAGGGAGTGAGTTCCATAAACTAGATACCTATATTAGCATAGAGTTTTTACGCAGATTTAGTTTGACTCTGGGGATATCAAAGATATATTTATTTCTGGTGCGGAAATTATGGTTTCTATTACATTTGTCCAGGGAGAGCTTCAGATCAGAATTTGTATTTAAAAACAGGGTTTTTTGTAAATGTAAATGCCACAAGAGAATGTGTGGAGTGAGTTTATGTTTAGGGATTTAAACAGGGGAGCTGAGTGTTGTCTGAAAGCAGAGTTTGTTATTGTTCTGATAGCAGATTTTTGCTGGATGATGATAGGCTTGAGGTAATTTGCAGTGGTTGAATCCCATCTCATGCACAGATACCATATGTAAGATAGGGATAGATTAGCGTGTAGTATAATGAGAGGTGAGCAGAGTTTGGAACATATAGGTAGGAACATATAGGAACACTAACAGTGACAGCGGGAAGGTAAGATCTAGTAGCTCTTTATGCCCCGCCTATTAGGCTTGTTGTACGTGTTGCGTTACATTTAAAGTTTTTCTGTCGTTCAAATTCTTTGTCGAATGTGGCCTTCAATTGTGTGGATGGAAGTGGCTGCCAGGACCTCTTTGTTCATAGTATTCCATGTGTTAGTCCTGTGTATTGTACAGGGTAAGAGTATTTTCTTACTTCGGCATATTTGTGTTTCCAGATTCTACTTACAGCCTCTTGTCTTACTTTCTCGAAGTTTAAAAAAATGAGGCTGTCCTTGTCCACTTTGTCTATTCTCCTCAATATCTTGTATGCTGTGATCATATGCCCTATTTTCACTCCTCTATGATTGAGATTTAGTTTCATTAACCTATTATCGTAGCTTATCCCTGTTAGATTTAGCACTAATTTGTTGCAAACCTACGCATTTTAAAATTTTGGTTTTGTGCTTTACACGGTACAGATTTTAGGCCTGTTCTGATGTTTGCCAGCTTCGCACATGCCGCTGATGTTACCTTGTGCATGAGTGCCTCTGGCGTTGGTGGTGGAATTATATCCAATGCCACTCTGGGAACCCGCACGTCTTGTCACATTCCTCGAGTTCAACACCTCCCTGTCACGCTTTGCTTTCTGTCCTTTAGGTATTCTTACCCAGTTGACTATACTCGCCTAGTTGTGCTTGCGAGGGCTGAGCTTTGGCTCTTTGGTCCCGCCTCTCAACTGGTGTGCAGATTAATTGTGGGGTTCAGTCCCTGAGCCCATTATGTGCCTCTGTAACCCTTTCCACTACCGCCCACAAGATGGGTATGGGGGTTCATAATAAATGAACTAAACTAAACCATCTGTTAACTACTCTAGCTAGCTGGCACTTAAAAAAAAAATCTTGCTAATGTCTCTGTGGCTCATTTGGGTACCAAGTTTCCACCTGTGTCCCCTTGTTCGTGTTCTACCCATGATAAATAGTTTGTCTTTGTCCACCCCTGTCAATTCCCCTGTGTGTGCTCCCTAGCGTGTAACATATTAGAATGCTTGGCAACTATCTTCATATTCAAAACAGAATCTCATGTAACGAGTGACAATTAAATCTATATTCTTACATTAGAACAAAAAGACGAAGAAAGAAATAATTAGTAATTAACAACTGACTATAATCATAACTTAAGTGTAATAAGCACTGTTGTGTTTTATTTTATAAATCAGAGATCTATAAGGAGATAAAATATTTGTTTGCTAATGCGTAGTACATTTTTTTTTTCTTAAAAATATGACCACAGAAACATTCATACCTGTCAACGTAGGCAAAGATGCTACATATTTTGTCTTTTGTCAAAAGTAGTTTGATATCTAAGAAGTGATATCATACGAGGGGAGACTTTTAAGTAATAGAAAGTAAGGGCGTTAATATGGAAACATATCGTACCGCAGTTATAACTCACTGCTCACTCCCTAGAACATCTAGTTCACTCACCTTCAATGAGTTGGACGCCCTCTTTTTTGTTTTAACGGAGAAAAGGCCCGCGAAACAATTGAGTTCAGACATGGCATGAACTTTTGCTTCAAAAGTAAGTAAGAGCGAGCTTCATCACCAGTGCATGCAGCCGTACTGAGGGCCTTCCACCTTTCACTCTAGCTGGCAACTTGACTCTTGACAGATATCGCTATACCTCATTCCCCTTGTTTTATAATCTTCTCTGAGGCTGTTTGTTGATATATGTTGCGCATGCGGTGAGAAGGTGAGTCCATTCATTGGCAATATTTAAGTGAGTATGTGTGCGAGAGATTACAAAAATATGAGCAGCTTTTATTAACTGGTAGATATGGTTATCACCACCACCAACACACACACACACACACACACACACACACACACACACACACACACACACACACACACACATAACTATCTATCTGAAAGTAAATAAAGACATACATCATTTCACTGTGGAGATTTCAGGATACCTTTCATCACTCTTCTATAAATAAATAATCAATCCACAATTATTACACTACAGCCAACTAATACATTCACAACTTGGCTTACTAATGCACTTATATGTTACTTTTGTTTTGTTGAAATATATTTTTAGATTAAATAATGTTCCTTCAGCGGCCGTAAAGTTGTTTAAAGACGTATTTCGGCTTTTACCAATTAGAAAGTTGAATATACACATAAAACCTATATAATTAATTATTTTAGTTTTGGGCTACAGTATTTACATTTTTTTAATCAGGGTGGTATAAGAGGAGAGATAACTATCGACTCTTGTGAACAGACTTCAGATATATCAACACAAACTAGAACACCAAACAAATGGATATAAATTGGGTAAGTTTAGATTTAGGAAAGACCTGGGTAAATACTGGTTTAGAAATAAGGTTGAATTACCAACAAATTTCAGGGTAACATAATATGAAGGGGGGGGGGGGCAGTGTTTCAAGCGCAGCATAGATATATATTATATAGACATAAATAATATATGAATGAGTTTGGGTGAATATAAATAGGAGCTGCCTCGCTTGACCCACTTGGCCATCCATCGTTTCCTTTTATTCTTTCGGTTTTTCGATCCCTTATCACAGCTCATCTTATCTTATCATGAACCAATATCTCTTAAAAATATATATATAAGGAGAACACTGGATCAGCATAATCGTCTTTGTGGACCTATACATTTTAACTCCACAGGCTTTGTTTACTGTCTGGCTGCGGCAACTCTGGGAATGGCTAGGCTGCACACCCTGCAGGGAAGGAAGCCGGTATATCTGGTCGAGGTCGTCCAGGCCAAGGGCGAGGCGCCATCCCCGGCCTACTTAAAAAGTGATTAATGTCGTGTTACAGCCCCGCTCCTGCGCCAGGTAAGTCCACTACGGGCTCACCATAGCCCGTGCTACTTGCCGCTCCTGTGGTAGGTAAGTCCACTACGGGCTCACCATAGCCCGTGCTACTTACCGCTCCTGTGCCAGGTAAGTCCACTACGGACTCATCGTAGCCCGTGCTACTTGCCGCTCCTGTGCCAGGTAAGTCCACTACGGGCTCACCATAGCCCGTGCTACTTGCAACTTTTTGTTCCCAGTCGCTGAATCTAATACAGCAACAAACAACTCACTGAGATCAGCACAATTAGGTGGCTATGATTTCCATAGCTAATCAAATTTCTTAACACATATTTTTATCTGCTACAGGTAATTGTGCTATAAATATGTGGACCCTGTAGTACTTTCTGGTATTATAGTATAAACAATGAAGTGGTGCACAAGATCTTTTGTGCCCTGTTAATCCTTATATATATGCATGCGCGACTGCTCCCAGGATGAGTACGATTGTGCACAATAAACTACCGCTCAAGGGATGAGAACAATTGTGCACAATAAACTATTGACAACATCGATAACCTTACAACAACCATTTAATCGAACGTACAAAAATGATCTGTTGCCGGCAGTAATGTTCACATTGTGTACTATTAGTTTTATGGTGGGCACGGCAAATTTTTTGTATATAGTATATATATGCATATATGGATGTGATATATCTATATATAGAGAGAGCACAGTCCATCGCAACTCGCACCAGGTGCAACAGCTTGAAGCTCAACAATCCACAATGTAAGACAGAAAACAAGAGATACTTTTCCCAAGTATCTCTCTTTCCTAAGCTACTCTATTCCTTTGAGATGTATTTTTTCTTGTCTCAATAAACATACTTGAACTTGAACTTCCCCACAGGATGATGAATTCATGAAGGCGCCTATCCGCCGAAGGAATAAATGTAAAGTTCAAAATTTAAGTGAAAATAGAAAACTTAGGAATAATGGTATTTAGTTGCCTTAACTGACCAGCCGTCGATGTCTTCGTGTCCATCGGTTGTGTAGGAATTACCCCTAAGGGTCCCGCTAGTACTGTCGGGTTCGTTCTCGACTCACAATCGAGAATTCCGGGGTTGAATCCCGGGTGGGCAGCCCGTCCTCCAAACAAAGATCCAAAAGTGATTCCATGCACCCGCCAAACCCCCTGTTTATGAATGAAAAGCGGTTTACACACGACTCACAACTGCTGACGTTCGAACATATCCGGAACAAGTGCTTCACTGACGAATTTTGTTCGAATCACAACGCTATAAATGCTTCACCCACGTACTACAAATACAAATAATCGCCAACAGAACCTAAACACCTAACCTATCCTATGCCTATATATACACAATATGCTAATATATTATAATATTAATTTATACTTGAGAAAATTCCCGTTTTGAATGAACAGCATGTTAAAATTTATGAATGCGTCTGTGGGGTCGACCGTTGGATGTAATGGACTTGAGTCGAGGACGGGTTGCGGGTGGGACAGAAATGGTTGGATGTATTTCCTATCACTTAATGCCTCTGTTCACCAAGCAGTAAGTAGGTGCTCAGGAGTTAGTCAGCTTGTTGTGGGGGTTTCATCCCTGGGAATGGGGGGTCAGTAGTTTGACTCATTCGACTTCCCCCTCTCATCCTTGGTGAGGGGGAGACCTCGATATAAGCCTAATGTGTATGAATACACTCTGGCTGCCTGTCCCCCCAACACAATGAATTATCGCGGTCACTAGAAATGATGGTCCTCAGGTGAGGATGATGATGTATGATGATAACTATGATGAGTATCCCATGGCCTGCTAATGCATGACATAATTGCTGAGTCATTTACCTGAGAGCCACTATTTCCCTATAGTGGCCTCGACGAGGACAGGAATCGACGAGGACAGGTGGTTTGTTAACGGAGTTTATCATAACATTAAATTGTTTATATGCAGTGGCATGAAAAAACACCAAGAACTTCAACAAAATTTACATCTTAGACACGACTATTCAATAGCTATTCCATATATCATCATACTACCATGCATGAATTAAGATCGAGTTACATATCTATTACTCATCCGATAACATCAGCAGATTCTTAGATGGTGCTACTATGGCTTAGACTTGGCTAGAATTAGTATCTGTATATTGGGAATTTTCTTCATGGTAATCTTAAGCTGCAGAAGATCCATCAGGCTTCCACCTTCACATTACCTGGGATGGTTGTAGAAATCTCTGGAATCAACCTCCAGCTAACATGTTCTCGTTATAGCACGTCACAGTTTGACATATACTTTACTTAAGACCAAAAACTGATGTACAAGAAAATGGTAGCGGTTCGTGATATTTACATAATGTCCCGTTTTCTGTTCGCGAGTCCTCAGGTTGGTCAGGTTAGGTGCCACCGTTTTTGAACGTTGAGAATGAATAATAATAAAAATTTGTATAACGATACATTGGACATATAGCCTCACATATAGCTCGATCACTCTGGTAATAAATCAGTAACCTTTAATAATACCTCAGGAAATTGGGATTGTACAACTGATCCAGACTTGAACACAAAGTGTCTCCGTGTACATGCTGGCTTCGTACTGGACTCACAATCAGGGATTCTGCGTTTGATTCCCGCGGAGGGACAGACATGGATGGGCACCTTGCCTTTCACGTACCTAATGTCTCTGTTCACCTAGCAGTAAATATATAGGTACCCTGGAGTTAGGAAACTGTTGTAGGTTGTATCCTGGGGAAGATTAGTAGTTCAACCTAGGGTGGGGAAGACAATAAGAATATAAGCCAGAAGTATATATATTGACACTGGGGCCGTCCATGACCGATCTATGACAGTCCCATACCACTTTTGTGTCATCTTGGAAAGTTAAGTGAGGCTAGCCCCCAAGCATTTAGTCTCTAACCTTGGACAGATAAATATTCTCTCTTAAAGATATAAGATATAACGATTACATGTTATGCTGTTATTATTACTAAAATTGTGAGTGTAAGATAACTTAATTATGAATGTAAAACAAGTTATGAATAAAGTTTTTAACTGATTGATGATAAGCTTTAACTACTCTGTATAGACCTAACATCAGGAGCAAGGGCGTGATTTTGAACGTGGTCCTGTGGGCCACGAAGGCAAAATTTCCGGCTGTACCCATCTAGGTGAGTAAGAGCTGGCCATTGGCCAGACTGCGGGAGTACAACTCTTGAAATCGTTAACACGGTGTCAAGGTAACAAATACCCTGAAATGCAGATTTCTAATTTGCAAGTGAAAAGAATTTATTAAACATTTCGTTTCGCATCTTTCCGAGGAACTATTCATTCATAAAGTAGTCATTTCCGTCCCTAGCGCATTCAAAGTTGGAGGGGAAATGAAATTTATATATATAAAAAAATTGTTGCGTGGGAGTGGGTGTGTTGATGTCTTCAGGTCAACACAAAATAACTAAAGGAGTGGTTACTGGCAATTGATATTTAGTGGCAGTTAAGCATGTTTCAAATATAGATACTGCATAAAAAAAGGGATAAAATGTTATCGGTATCATTTAGAATTGCTTATGAGATATTGCCTATCCATTGCATGACTAGTTCCGGAAGTGTTGATGAGCTTGGATGAGTTATCTCGCCCTCGGGCTTTCCGAGAAGAAAAATTAAGCAATTTCACACGGCGTAAATGCCGAGGGTTCCTAGGTATACGACGGCCTCTCGTGCACCATATGCCCCTACCATAAGGCTCATTACAGTGTAATAGTATGTCGTGTAGGTTTATTTGGTATTGATTAACATAGGTGAAGAGTGCATGCGGGAGGTGCCGAGGAGGCGAGAGTGCCTGAGTGAACTGATCAAAGAAAACGTTACCGTGACGTCAGGACCCTGGTGCGCATGCGCGCCGCGGTACATGGTCACGTGACCCTACAGCTTTTGTGAGCGCATTTTCCTAGGTAAATATGAACCCTGTGAATTTAAGGTGCATTTTCCAGCTATGTAGCCCTTTACTCTAACTACATATGTGGTAAATAACATGGCAAAGGACCGACGAGGACGGCAGATAGGGAGATAGCGGCGCGAGTGGCCTAGTTTGCGTGCAAATGGACATTAAAACCCGGTGTGTTGTGCAGACATAGGATGTGCGGGGTGCAAATGGCGTCAAGCTCGCATGTGTTATTGAACATTATCTCTGCCGGTGACAAGTGGCAGTAAAGCTGCGTGTGGACGTTCGCTCGACTGTGGACTCGCACTTGCTAGTTCGTTATCCTTGGTGGGGTGAGGCGGTAAGGGTAAACTCTGGGTAGAGTGTGGAGGTTTGGTGGAGGGGTGGCTGGCTGGCTGGCTGGCCCAGGCTCCATTGTTTACACTGTGCGCCAGAGGAGTCTTACCTGTGGCCCACCTCCTCCCCCTCTTACACTCTCTTACCCCTCTTACACTCCCTCTACCACCTCTTGTCTCACGCTCTCAGGGGGCGAGCAGCACTATAGCCCCACAGTGATGATGCTGTGCACTGTGCACCACACTTGCTGAGCTCTTGAGCAACAAGTTGATGACTCAAGGCCCTGAGAATATTTTGTATCTTATTTCGATTTGCATAATTTTTGTTTAGTTGACAACTCAAAATTGGATTTTTTTTATTTTTTTGGTCATGTCTTGGTGATCTAGCTATCTATAAATTGGAGTCAAAAGGCACTTGCTTTAAATGTTGACACTGTTAGATAATTTTGTTACGGTGGGTTTAAAAATCGTATTGAACTGTGTGTGTGGATTCGTCGGTCTATGCAGTGTGGACATTGAGCCCTTTATGCATAGTGTTTTGTAAAGATGTTGAAAATATAAGAATATATGAGGGCCAAAATTAAACCTTTAATAATGGATAAGAGTAAGTAAAGGCAGAAATTTGAAGTGAATACTTGGACGTTTGAGAGTTTGATAACGTTTCTGCGGAGTGAGAAGTATCGGAAGCTGCGTTGACACCTTGAATTAAACGTTGTGTATTACACATCGACAAAAAAAAATGAATATGTAATTTGAGCACCCTTAAACGAGTTAAGGATCGTGAGAACGTTACATGCAAGTTCGTGGGTGTTGTGTTACAGTATTTGGGTATACAGTTGATGGCCACAAACTCATTTTCTGGTGAATTTATCTTAAGTCATTAACTCTAGCACTGTTCAAAGCATTGGTTATGAAACATGAGTTATTAGAATGCCGCTTTGAATTGCCAAATAAAGTATTTTATATTAAAAAAGTTTTGTCGCTTGGAATACGTATTGAAGTTATTTTCCAAGCTCGGTACTTTCATCGGTTTCCTCCCTCGTTATGAATTCAGGTTGTTTCATACAGACGGTATGTACAAAGATTTATAGATGTTTCATATGCTGAACACAGCTTGGCGAGGCTTGCAGAACCTTAAAACTTGTACCATTAAATTCCTTTTAATTTTGGACATTAATATAGTTGGAAAGAGCATGTTCTAAATAACCCTTGTCAAACTATAGGTACCATAGGTTTTTAACAGATATGCATGAAACACATTATTCAATGCAGAGGAAATGTAAAGAAGTTCTAAAAGTATTGTAGCAAGACGATAGTCTTGACTAGTGGCTAGGATCATTTGTTGGCTTGTGTGAGGTTGCATCACTTGGCTGGGATGTTTCAGAATCTTGCTGTAAAACAGTCATGCATGTACAGTACTGTATGTAACAGACAAAAACCTTGCATGCTTATAAGTAGGTTACTCGAGTGTTTAAATGTTTGATGGAGCATAAATAATTTCAAAATTTGCCGAATCTTGGATTAGGAATGATTAAATTTGAGAAAAGCACACTGTATTTACATTAAATACATTTCAAGAACTGGTGGCACAGTGTTGAATGCAAAAACCAGACTTGACTCTACAGCATGTACTCATGTTGAAATTGATAAGGAAAATTTGTACCCAAGATAGTTCTCCAACATATTTTAAAACCTTCCCTACCCATCCTAATCTAGTGCACACATCACTTTGTATCCAAGATAGTTTGCCAATGGACTTCAAAACCTACCCAACCTTATCTTGAGGTTATCTTGAGATGATTTCGGGGCTTTAGTGTCCCCGCAGCTCGGTCATCGACCAGGCCTCCACCCTCAGGAAGCAGCCCGTGACAGCTGACTAACACCCAGGTACCTATTTTACTGCTAGGTAACAAGGGCATAGGGTGAAAGAAACTCTGCCCATTGTTTCTCGCCGGCGCCCGGGATCGAACCCGGGACCACAGGATCACAAGTCCAGCGTGCTGTCCGCTCGACTGACCGGCTCCTTGGCCGGCTGGCCTTGCCAAACTATAATTATTATAAACACAACCCAGCCTGGATGAGCCCCACCCAATGCAGCCAATGATATATAAGATTTTAACGATTAGAAAGCAAGCTTTGTTGATTACATCTTTGTACTGCTTAACTGTGCCACATCTTTGTACCACTTAACTGTGCCCCATCGAAACAGAACTGTGATTGGTTCATTTAATAAATAAATAAGTTATGCATGAAATATATTTCTTATTACAATGAATGTGTAGTACGTTTATAATATAATGGAGTTATGGGTTTCAACATGAACCTCCATGTAATACCACCAAAGAAGCTGAGAATGTCATTTGTAAGAACATTTGTCTGTTCCAGTGGAAGACATAAGTGTTTTTACAAATGACATTCTTGTTTGTTCATTCATATACTGGAATGAAGCCAGTCATGCATAATTTACGTCACAAATAACTTCAGCCCAAACTTGAGATGTTTCGTGCTGATGGTACTGCTTGAAAAACAACTTCTCTTGGTTATAACCAGATTCATCAGTACTGTACTGTACTAAATTTCTGGAGTGATTTTTGAAAGACTTAATTTATCATTAATATGTTTGAGCACATAACTTATTTTCCACATTCTTTTGAATCAAGCTTTTTATTGTCAGCAAAATGCAAAAATATAAATGGCTAGAAATATCCCTCACTGTGGGGCCAGCAGCATACCTCGTCACCTTGGGTCCAGCAGCGTCCCTCGTCACCGAGTGGCCAGTGGGGGCCCTCGTCACCATGGTGCCAGCTGAATCTCTCGTCACCGGGGGGCCAGCTGGGTCCCTCGTCATGGTGGGGCCAGCAGTGTCACTCCTATATAAAAAATTAATCATAGGACAAACATTAACATAAACTACCTCATGATTAGGTTAGTGATGCAGAACAGAAATAGCACAGATGCTAGGACATGACCTTGAAAAATTTAGCTTCACCGATCACACTTCTTTTCCTCAGTGTGATGACCTGCTCCTTAAATAATCTTGCCCAGTTCAGTTCAGTGTCCTGGTTTAGTGTTCCCCATCATTCTCCGGGTTTAGTCTACTCCCTGTTCAGTGTTCTCCCAGTTCCTTGTTCTCACTGTTACTGCCCTAGTTTAATGTTTTCCCTGTTACTCCTCTGGTTCAGTGTTCTCTCCGTTACTATCCAAGTTAATCCCCCATCCACTTGGACTGGTCGGTACAGGGGCAGTCTTGGTACAGTGCAGGTTGGTGTTCAATCCATGGTGGTCAAAATGATTGGGCACCATTCCTTCACATTTTCTTTGTATCTACAGTGTTTTAATAAATGGATGGATTGATATTAAATAAACTATTCACAACATTAGGGAGACTGAAATCAGAATGTTGTGGGGTTACATCTCAAGAGCTTGTCAGTATACTGGAAAGTGTGCAGACATGTTGCTAAATAGCTTTTGAATGCTATGAGCTGTGAGGAAAGGCTAAAGGTGTTCAATATGGCCAAACTAAAGAATATAAGGAAAGAGCATATGAGCACCACATGTAAAATAACGACATAATCAACATTGTTGACGAGGAATTTTAAACCTCCATCGTTAACCACTGCACTGCTTACCTGATTTTGGCAAAACTTCTTAGTGCAGTTGTCAAGGACATATTTTTGTTTTTTTTATAAATGTTTAAGTAACGTAATTGTCAAAATATTTCCAAACTCAATTATTTCAATTTCAAAACACAATGATGAAAACATTAAAAAACCATTAAAATATAGCCTAATTAAAAAACAAATAGCACAACTCTCAGAGCGCCTGAAGGCGCTTTGCGTAGTGCAGTGGTTTAACAACTAGAGGCCATAGGTTCAAGCAAGGAAACTAGGGTGCCAAAAAAGTACATGAAAATTCTGCTTTGCAAACCAAGTTGTAGATTCCAGTTCCCATGAGTTCCACATCTCATGGGGAAATGATGAGCATTAAGATCTGATTTTTATATGTAATGTATTGTAATGCATTTTCCTAGTTTGACCTGTTCCCAGAGATTTTGAGAATTTTTATTTGTAGACCAACAACACACACTTTCTACATCAGTCTCTTGAGACTGAGAACAGGTCAAACTTTGTTCTGGACTCTAAATTGGGAATCCTGGATTCAAATCCCAGGTGAGACAGAAATGGTTGAGCACGTTTCCTGTCCCCTAATGCCTCTTATTCACCTAGCAGTAAATAGATACCTTACTTATTCATCTAGCAGTAAATAGGTACCCTATTTATTCACCTAGTAGTAAATAGTCAACAAACTGTTGTGGGGTTGCATCCTGGAGAGGGTCAGTAGGTCAATCTTGGGGAGGACCTCAATATCAGCCTAACTGTATACTGTACTGTATGTATGCAGGTTATCAGTCCCTGACAAAATGAATTATTTCATGTGGATTTCATCTCATGTTAGCTTCCAAATTCACAAGAGAGCTGTTGAGTTAGCCAAAGAATATGCCTTCAAACATTTTGACTGTAACCTTTGGATATCCTTGAGAACAAGGATACTTGTTCAACTTGAGAACAAGAATACACCAAGAACTTCAACAAAACCTTATAGATCTAAGGCCTAACAAATGTATAAACACAGGCAGCCTATCCATGACAAAATTGGTTATAATTAAAGTTAAATATGTAAGAAATACTGTTTCTTATTGTGAGCATCAATAATTGATGTGGAAAAAACTGCAAATGACTAAGATGGAAAAGGGTATCTTTAAAAATGCACAGACATGCGTTGGAGGTGCCTGCCAGCCCTCACAAGCACATTTGTCTGTTTACATCTGTTTAGCTATATTAGTGCTATGCCATCCTGAATAATATGAAATATGGTAGAAATAGAATGCCTATTAACATGCATCATAAATAGCATTTAATAGTTACGAGCACATGCAATTTTCAGACTACAGTAATTGATCTCGTGAAGCGAGTATTGTTGGTGGGGTAACTGGAGGTTATTGTAACAAATTCAACTTTTTCACTTGCAGCCATTTCATTGACTTTCTATATAATCCACCATTCTTATTTTATTGCAAAGAGCAGAACATTATACAATGTGCAGTTTTGTTCAGTTGAAAGGTATAAATGCAAGCAGAGATTGCCATACGTATAATAAAGGTGGTGATGGAAAGGAATTTTTACTGCCATCTGCTGGGTGCACGTACAACCAGCTATGTATGCCTCACTTGGATATATCAAGTGCTTCAAATTATTTTAGTGTAACATTTGCTATATTTTAAATGCAGTGCATACTAATGCCATTAGCAATAAATACCAGCAAATAGAAATCATACACAGTGAGGATGTCTTGATGGCTCTTGATGACAAGATGGTAATATGTCGTCCTTTAAATCTTGGAAATCTTTTGTTTATTCTAATAAGTTTTTAAAATTACATTGTTTTAATAACTTTCTGGGATTTTTAGGGTTTTCTTTTCAGTGTAAATTTTTTTTTAGCACCTTCTCCTTGATCTCACCGCACCTTCACTTCCTTGATCTCGCTGCACCTTCACTTCCTTGATCTCGCTGCCCCTTCACTTCCTTGATCTCGCTGCACCTTCAATCCCTGATCTCGCCGCACCTTCACCTCCCTGATCTCGCTGCACCTTTACCTCCCTGATCTTGCTGCACCTTTACCTCCCTGATCACGCTGCACCTTCACCTCCCTGATCTCGCTGCAACTTTACCTCCCTGATCTCGCCGCACCTTTACCTCCCAGATCTCGCTGCACCTTTACCTCCCAGTTCTCGCTGCACCTTTACCTCCCTGATCTTGCTACACCTTTACTGCCCAGATCTCGCTGCAACTTTACCTTCCTGATCTCGCTGCACCTTTATCTCCCTGATCTCGCTGCACCTTTACTGCCCAGATCTCGCTGCACCTTTATCTCCCTGATCTCGCTGCACCTTTACCTCCCTGATCTCGCTGCACCTTTACCTCCCTGATCTCGTTGCACCTTTACCTCCCTGATCTCGCTGCACCTTTACCTCCCTGATCTCGCTGCACCTTTACCTCCCTGATCTCGCTGCACCTTTACTGCCCAGATCTTGCTGCACCTTTACCTCCCTGATCTCGCTGCACCTTTACCTCCCTGATCTCGCTGCACCTTTACTGCCCAGATCTCGCTGCATCCTTACCTCCCTGATCTCGCTGCACCTTCACCTCCCTGATCTCGCTGCACCTTTACCTCCCTGATCTCGCTGCACCTTTACCTCCCTGATCTCGCTGCACCTTTACCTCCCTGATCTCGCTGCACCTTTACTGCCCAGATCTCGCTGCATCTTTACCTCCCTGATCTCGCTGCACCTTCACCTCCCTGATCTTGCTGCACCTTCACCTCCCTGATCTCGCTGCACCTTTACCTCCCTGATCTCGCTGCACCTTTACCTCCCTGATCTCGCTGCACCTTCACCTCCCTGATCTCGCTGCACCTTCACCTCCCTGATCTCGCTGCACCTTCACCTCCCTGATCTTGCTGCACCTTCACCTCCCTGATCTTGCTGCACCTTCACCTCCCTGATCTTGCTGCACCTTCACCTCCCTGATCTCGCTGCACCTTCACCTCCCTGATCTCGCTGCACCTTTACCTCCCTGATCTCGCTGCACCTTCACCTCCCTGATCTCGCTGCACCTTCACCTCCCTGATCTCGCTGCACCTTCACCTCCCTGATCTCGCTGCACCTTCACCTCCCTGATCTCGCTGCACCTTCACCTCCCTGATCTCGCTGCACCTTCACCTCCCTGATCTCGCTGCACCTTTACCTCCCTGATCTCGCTGCACCTTTACCTCCCTGATCTCGCTGCACCTTTACCTCCCTGATCTCGCTGCACCTTCACCTCCCTGATCTCGCTGCACCTTCACCTCCCTGATCTCGCTGCACCTTCACCTCCCTGATCTCGCTGCACCTTCACCTCCCTGATCTCGCTGCACCTTCACCTCCCTGATCTCGCTGCACCTTCACCTCCCTGATCTCGCTGCACCTTCACCTCCCTGATCTCGCTGCACCTTCACCTCCCTGATCTCGCTGCACCTTTACCTCCCTGATCTCGCAGCATCTTTACCTCCCTGATCTCGCCGCAGTTAAATATTTACGAACATTTGTCACATGTAGAATTTTCAATACAGTGGGAAATCTTTATTCAACTCTTTCACATTTAAAATTTTCTCAATTTTTGTATGTTTTCTCAAACTTACTTAGTATATTAAATTAATATTCCTTTTTTTCAGCACTTGTATATACAAAGTGTACATAAATTAGCTTCTTAAGATGAGCTCCGGGGGCAGAGGCAGCCGGGGCAACAAAGGTCCGCGGGCGGGCGGCGGTGACCGCAACAACACCGCCACACCACAGGTACAGCAACCTCAGCCTGTACAGCAACAGAAGATGGACAGCCAGGCTACAGACAAAGACAAAGGCGGCGAGGCAATACCGCACAAGATAGCACCCACAGCAGAGCAACTTCGCATTGCCCAGATGATTGACAACACACGAACAGAACCAGAGAAGTTGCTTCAGGAAAAAATTAATCAGGTTAGCTTAAACCAAGTAGAATGTTCTTAATTCAATACCTTACATAGCCTAAATGTATGGGCCTCTTTCATACATCTGCTTATTATTCATGTTTTGATGTAGTTTTATATGTTTACATTAGTGTATAGCTTTTCACTATACTGTATTGGTATAGTGCACTCCCATTTAAGAGGACTGTAAAACTGTATTGCATTGACTTTTTCCTTAAATTTCACCCATTTTCCAACAATATCTATGATATACAGTACTCTATTTTTTTTGTCTTGTTTTACGGAAAACAGTACTTGTATTTCTTTTTCCAGTATTTTAACACATGACATAACCAAAATTTTAATATCGTACAAAATAAATACAGTATGAATGAAATATAATTTAATAATGAAATGAATGAAAAATAATAATTTAATTAAAATAATTTACTTTGCAGTAAAGGTCCCCTTGCTTTGTTACCTTTGAGTGGCCAAGTAAGGTGTTTGTGTTTTACAGAATGAACCTGCAGTCACAATGTACCATTACCAGCACGCTATAAAAGTGTCAATTTGCCCTTATTTATGAGATAAAGTGGTAGCACCAATGGCGCACCCTTTTACCAGTGTGATTTTTATCACCAAATCTCTCCTTCATCATTTGTTATCCTCGTCTGCCTGCCTACCTCCAGTCTGACTAATGTTGCTGTTAGAGTTAGACAACATTCCAACTCCAAATTAGTTTACACATCTCCAGCTTTACTCTTATCTTATTTACAAAAATGTGTATTTTATTTTTTAATCATCTTTAAATGCTAATGCAGTAGTTTTTTTTAAGTATGATTTTGAATCAATTTTATTGCAATATAATTTGGAAACTAAAATAGCTTTGTCACTAAATTTATTACTTTCTATAAATAAATAAAAAATATTTTAAAATAATTAATTTGGAAAAAAAGAAAATATGTAATTTGAATATTTGTGCATTGTGGAAAGACAATCCAACGATGTTACTTTTATTATGCTACCTGGAGTAATTTGTTACATGAAAGAACAACTCTGACAATGGAAGATGAGACTGCAAACTTGAGCTTTATCTTATAAACCAAAATAGAAAAGGTGTACTGTGAGCTAGAGCTTTTTCTTGTAAACCACGAATAGGTACTCAGTATGTATAAGTTGTGCCCAAAATTTGGGGTTCATTTCCTGCAAAGGTGAATGCTGTAGTTTCATTACATACATTCGTGTGCACCCTCCAACACTTTGTTGCACACTTTCCACCCATCTCTGCCATTGCCTTCTCCAATGCTCTACCTCTTCACATTGCACGCATGCACTATTCATGCATCTTAACACCTCCACTCACTGACCCCACACTCTTCATATACCCAGTGTCTCAAAACTAAATAATGCCCCTATCATAATCCTTAAGGGGGCATAATGCCAGATATTAAAATTTGTTCAATGTCAACAAATCGTTTTAGACTAATTGTGTATGAAAAGGGCTGCAATTGTGCCAAGTTTCAGTATTGCAGCCTAAATTGAAAGGGAGATTTTTTTTTTTCAACGAATTTTACACATTTTCAAATCGAAACTACAACCACAAGTTTCAAATGAAATCATTTCTATGACATTCTTCTATCACATTGGCATATAATAAAGGATCTGATTCAGCGGATTTTCCAAAATATGCTTAGTTTTACTAATATAAATAGCCAAAGTGCCATAAAAAAATTATGCAAATATATCATGGTTTATTACTATTATAAAATCAATAAATAAACTTAAGAAAAAAAAAGCTCGAGTCAGATTGTAGAAACGTAAACTCTACATATAAGGTTTAAGTTTCATGTAAATTGAATAAAAAAGGAAAGAGTTATAAGAACGTTTGTTACTTGAAAAAATGAGTAAAAAATAGTCTGTTCTGCCATCTGTGCCTGTGGTTGACATCAACCAATTTCCTCCAAAATTGGCACCCTTACAGATAGGCTTACGTGCAGTCAGGTGTATAAGTTTCATGCAAGTCGTCCGATAAACAAATAAGAAAGAGATTCATAGACATGATTTCAGTTGACACTTGTTTGATGTTAATTTTTGACCATTTTGGAGAATTTTTAAAAAATTTTGACTTATAGTTCAATATTTTTTTCTCCTTTCCTATTTATTCTATGATGTTGAGACTTGGACCAGATGAAACCCTTTTCATATACAACTCATCAAAAAAGTTTGATTGAAATCGAATCGGTTTTCATTTATTGCATATTTTGGCATTACGCCCTCTTAAAACTAAATTTTTCATAACTTCACAGTGTAACAAATGTGACATTTACTTACACTGGTTCTCTATTCCTCAGGTTATGCAGTTCACAGGTGTAAATGCAGACGATGCGATGGTGGCCCTACACGACTGTGATAATGATGTTAATGCCGCCATCGACTCGTTGCTAGAAGGCGATGATCAGGGCAAGTGGCAAGAATCAACTAAGAAAAAGAAAAAGCCGATAACAAACAAGGTACATATTATACAACAGCTTCTCTGTTGTTTATGTATTACACCTCTGAAGAAAGATTGCCATAATTCTTTGAGAACTGTATAGGCTATTTCCCAGTTATAAATTCAGATAGGATGATAATGTATATAAAACATGGAAACAAAAATGAATAGGACAGAATGCATTATAAATTTTTTATGAATTAAACTAAAATTTTTTCAGCCGACAGAGGCAGAAAATAACAAGGAAAATCGACGGGTTAATTCCCGCGAGCGTAGTGGGTCTAGGCCAAGAGGTGGTGGTCCACCCAGGTTTAGAGGGCGAGGCGGCAGTGGCCGAGGTGGCCGTGACAGGTGAGTATAAATCTTTTGGTCTCTTGACTATGTGCTGAAATATCTTTGCCAAATAAAAAAAAATTAATTGCATGGTTACAATTTACAGTTCATAAAAGTTAAGAAAATTTGTATTTGTGTATTGTAGCCATGCAATTAATGTTTTTTTTTATTTGGCAAATATATTTCAATTTTTTTTTTAATTAATTGCATGGCTACAATTTACAGTTCATAAAAGTTGAGAACAATTTTATTTATTTGTGTGTTGTAGCAGAGTGAGAGAGAATGTGATTAAGAGTGCCACAATCTAAAAACTGTGTGAACACACTTATTCAAATTAATGCATGGTAGATGACTTATGAATACAAAGGTTGCCAGCTGTGGGGATTTAGTCACATTTATGGCTCAAATTTGTTGTTGTGGTAACATGAGTTTTTAGCTTATTATTTATGTTTAGATCTGATGTAACTTTCTCTGGGTCTGTAACCTGGATGGACCTTGTTGGAGGCATATTGGTGGAAGAATTGTGTGTTTTTTTATATTTTATCCTTCTCATTTTGTTCTCTGTTGGCTTCAACTTGTCATCTGTCCTCAACAATAACTTGGCTCAGTTATTTCCAAGATGTCCTTGTGCATCACTGAATCCTTCCTCTCTCTGCCTTTGACCAAGCCTCACAATCTTGGTCATTTTAAAAGCTATGACATGAAGGCTGTTGAAGTTGTAAGCATCATTCACACATTCTGCCAAACACCAGTCATGGTCATATCTTTATTTCATCCCATGTTATGTTAGTGTTCTTGATAATAATCCTGATATAATTTCCAAAATTCTGGAAGTGAAGGTTTATCTTGGCTAATTATAATGTCAACACAGTGGGCAAATATCAGCCTTGTGTAATAAATACTGCATAAAGGCTGATATAATGCCCTGATTATATGTGCTGGATTTATGAAGCAGTGTTGGGTGGTATTAATACAGCCTTAAGTACAAGGTACAGTATTATAGTTTTGCCATGGTAATCTGAAGTGCCCAGATTTTTAATAATTATTTAAATGTTAATTCTTATAAGATATGTAAAGCAAATGTTAGTGGTAAAATTACATAAACAAATTAGTTGCCATGATTTATGGTAAAATTGCATAAATTTTTTTTTTTGCCATGATTTAGGCATGGATTGAAAAAATGTTTTATGGAGTTTTACACTAAGAGATGGGGAGCTACTGGAAACCTTGAGAAAGAAGAATGTAGTTTCAATATTCAAGAAAGGGGATAGATATGAAGCACTAAACTACGGACCAATGTCATTACCATGCATTCCGTGCAGGATGCTGGAAAAAGTATTGGCATAATCAGAGAACATTGTATAAACATCAGAGGTCCACAGTTGTTCAACATACTTCCAGCAAGTATAAGAAATATTGCCGGAACAAACGTGGGCACCTTCAAGAGAAAACTAGATAATTTTCTTCAGGCAGTACCAGACCAACCGGGCTGTGGTGGATATGTGGGCCTGCGGGCTGCTCCAAGCAACAGCCTGGTGGACCAAGCTCTCACAAGTCAAGCCTGGCCCTGGGCTGGGCTTGGTGAGTAGAACAACTCCATCCAGGTACAATGTAAAGTAATGAAAATGGGTAAGGGAAACAAAGAGGCCTGTGTTTAATTATACCATAATGGGAGGACAATTACAAGAAACAGTAACAGGAAAAGACCTGGGAGTAGACATAATTCCAGCATTAACACCAGCAGCTTATGTGAACTGGACAAGATCAGCAGCATATGGAAAGTTAGCAAACATAAGAAACACAGCCCCTCTTTAAAACCCTTAACGTTGAGAGAGATAATTAGTGTGCACGTTTAAACAGTTAAGACGTGGGGTCATAATGAACTAGGTCTCACTCCATCATAGCCACTTATAGGAAAGCATTGTACTGGAAAGGTATGTATAAATCTTCCAAATACAATATCTTCCTCAGTATGAACTGGAGATTTAGATCTGGATCTCGCTCCCTGTTGATACAACTTAGTAAACATGCGTTTGTTTTATCTGCTATTAAAGTTAATCACTAGATCTTTAGTAAGAGTTTTGTTCTGATTTTCAGTGAAAGTTGGGATGGTCCAAGTCGTGGTGAAGGGTCACGGCGTGGACGTATGACTAATGGAACTCCTGCGGCCAGAGGTCGAGGCGGTCGAGGCCGTGGGAGTTCTATGGGTCCACGAACATTCCAAAACAGGCAAGCACCTGGTTTCCCAGATTCCATAGACACTTGGGGGCCTCTCACAGATGACAAGCCAAACCATCAAAACAGTCTAAAAATAGGTGAGCTTTTTATTTTTATTATATTTGATTCATAATGTGATTCTGAGCTACAGTATTTGACTCGGATTCTCCCTATAGCAATCTTAAAGGCCCATTAGACAAGATCATATCAGTCAAGGCAGGTACATTTTATGGTCCTAATTTAAGATGAAAAAGTAAATAAATTTTGTTAATAGGTGTCTTGAGTTCATTAATATTTATTCCAGCAGTGCAGAAACTAATTAATTTTTGAGGATTGAATTTTTTGTTGGTTTTAGCGCTTTCTTTGATTAATTACTTGCCTAAATGTTTAATATTATAGGCATGAAAACCTGACTGCAGTTTTAAGGTGTAATGTTTTTGTATAAAATGTAAAATGATCTATAATGTCTGATTATTTTACTATATTACAGACAATTGGGATGATGAACCTCCTTCGGGTGGGGATGACTGGGACAGTGAATGGACTGGATCATTAGAACAGACTACAGTATTTGGTCCATCTAGCAGTTCCAGTACATCTACATTGACACCATCATTATCAGAGTCTCTTCCAGAAACATTGTCAGTAGGAAGTCCATCTGTGGGACCAGCAGTCTCTCTCGCACCTTCCCAAGTCTATGCCTCGACTCCACCACAAATATACCCCCCTGCACCTGCTTCAACCTACTCTTCTGCCACAGCTACGACTTTCACCTCAACTACAGCTTCAACTTACTCTTCCACAACTGCTTCCACAGCCTCCATTACCCAACCTCAGACTATGGATTTGGCTGCCTTGTTACAGAAGGCAGCCCCACAGTCCACGCTTAGTGGGTTGGTGTCGTCTACCCAACTGTGTAGTAGCAACAACACAAGTAATGGTGGAGGTGGGGGTGGCAGGGTAGGTGGAGCTCCGCTGGTATCCCCAGCTCCGGGACTGAGTGTTGGCAGTCAACATGGCATCTTAAGTGGACTTGGTGCCAATGTAGGGGAGAGTTTAAAAGCTGGAGGACTTGTTGGAAGTGTTGGTGTGTCAGCCACTGCTCCATCACCTGCATCATCAGCACCGCCACCCTACTCGACTCCCACCGCTCAACTACAAGCAGCGATCTTCTCTAGTTCTGGTAGGTTTATACCAAAGAAAATGGTCAACATGTGCTGTACAGTTTATTTAGTTGGGGAAACAGGTACACTTGGGCTCTAAAATAGTGTAAATTACTACTAAAGATTATTTAAGCACATGTAAATTTTCACCTGTAAATAATTTTGTTCCTGAAAATTTGTTCTTCAGTATCATGTATGGTCTCCAATATAATTGAGATACTGTTAACACATTGCAGACTGTGTTTCTGATACCGAGGTATTTCCCCTGGTCTGATAAAATTGCAGAAAACTATAAAGTTCGTTCAATTGCCGAAGCCGATTTCCATAGCTTCCTAAAATTATTCACATGGGAAGCAAAGAAAAGACAATAGCGACCCAGTTGTGAACACTAGTAAACGCTTATTATAGAAAACTTAAAATTTGATTATAATTACAAGAAACAAGATAGTTTAATAAAATTTGTATTTTAAACTTACTGGTGAGGTACCATGCCAGACCCTAATGGTATGAAGTAAGGAAACTCTTTTTGTGATTGGTATGTTAAGTGTATATTTGATGAGTGCATGTATGCAAGTTGAGTTTGGATACACAGGTACAAAATTTCCCAAGTATGATTCACTACTGTATTATGCTTGAGCATGATTAATAATTATACTATAATATCTATTGACAAAATGTCTGCAAATAGGTAATGGGTGTGGTGATCAGTGCACAATTCAAGTTCAGTAATTACATTTTGTATGTGCTTGGGGGATGTGTATGTAATAATATCTGGTGAGGTTTAAGCACCACCTTAACAACTTGGTATGAAACACACAAAAATCACACTGGCGTGATATATATCAATGTGTGCAAAAGTGTTTTTGTGTGTGTGTGTATTTTTCTAAGTATGGTTGGCTACTGGAGTACAGTCACTTAGTGTGTGACAGAAAAAGGAGGTTACAGCATATGTTCAGCCTCTACACTTAAGACTCGTTCCTTTGCACCAAATTGATTAATGCCACAATTATGGTAGAAGTGTTGAAAAGTTAAATTTAATTATTATACATGTTTATAAATCGCCAAATACAAATCCACAGCATTTTATAGAATATCGGAAAACCAAATACTGCTTGGAAAATATCTCGAATCCAACTCCAAACATCAGCATATTAGGCAATTTCAATTTCTGAAGCCTAAAATGGGAAATAAGACAAACAGCAAGAAGATAGAAAAAATATCTGGTAGTAGTATAAATGAAGTTTTACATGAATAACATGTTAAGATTGACCCTATGTGCAGAATACCTCTGTTGAAAAGCAGAGGTGCAATAGGCACTCTTAAATGAGAACTATATCAACATGACAGGACTGAGACTGTTTAACACGCTTCCACTATACATAAGGGGCATAACTGGCCAAAAGAACTTTGCAGTGTCAAGAGAGAACTTGATAAACACCTCCAAAAAATACTTGATCAATCAGGCTGTGACTCGTATGTCAAGCTGCGAGCAGTCATTTTCAACAGCCTGGTTGACCAGTCCAGCAACCAGGAGGCCTGGTCGAGGACCTGGCCACGTCGACGCTAAGCCCCGAAACAAACTCAAGGTAACCTCAAGGTAAGGTAGTGTCTCAAGAAGGACCAGAAAGGCTGACTAGGATAGAAGCAATTCAGTTCAAATTTAAACCATAATAAAAACTGGGAGAGACAAAAGAATCAAAATATTTCTTATGCAAGTTCCAAATTAAAAGCACTCTTCTAATGTTTGGCCACAAATCTAGCCTTTGAAATAGGAGTTTAGAGCCAGTACATACACACATCCTCCCATGCATTATTGTTAAACCCATTCAGAAAGCTTCCCTCAAACTGAGTTAGGCTCAAGAACTGCCAAACATTATGGCAATCTGTCATTGTTACTCTTTAAACAAAACTATCCAAACCAAACCTAACCTTACCATCATATCCCATTCTGTAGTATCTTATGTCCTGTCCTGTCCTATTGTGTCATTTCCCAACCTAACCTAGCTCTTCCTAACTTAACTAAATTATACCTAACCTTGCCTAGCAAAAATAGTAACAACATTGTGTTTATGTATACAATACTGTATGAGGTGTGAAACATCATAGTTGAAGAGTTGAAGTTTTTGTATAGTACTACTCAAACTCCCTATAGTAATGATTCCCACATATCTTAAAAAAAAAAATTTTGTTTGTTTGCATCAATATAATGTTCAATGCGATGTGTAAAAGTTGTATACGGTCTATATGTAATTTTTCATGCAGGAAGTCCCCAAGTTGAACGGGTTTTGTTGAAACCTTTTTCTTTGCACATCATTTGTTTAGTACTCCAGGTACAGTCTATCCATAGACAATGTTCTAAATGGGAGTGAAGTTCTCAATCCACCATAGGTCAACATAATTAAACTGAATTAATGTTGATTTTCACTAGATACTTTTACAGAATTATAATGGGTGATTGGCTGACTTGTTGGGTGGCTGCCTTGGCCAGAGGGTGGCTGATGTGCTGCTTTAGAGGACATTGTACAGGCCTGAGACGGGGGTACAACTGAGCTCATCCATGAGGCAATACATTTATCTTATGACATCTAGTGTTCACTGGCAGACTGAGCAATTCTGATTGCCTATTGCCTATCTTTCTTTTTACTTAACTGTCTGGCAAATTTGATTGACAGACTTACTGACTTGACTGAATGCTATGTATGTGTGTGTGTATCTGTAGTAAAGGGAAGGGAGCTCTGCCTGTGGTATCCCATCTTCCAGCACTAATTCACCATTAATTTTAAAATGTGCACTATATCATTGGAACTTTCCAGTGTACTTGGCAACTCTTTCCACTCAACCTCTATTTGCATAAGAGAATTTCCTTGTGCCCTTTCTATTGCTCTGTTTCCTGAGCTTCGGATGATGTCCTTTCATTCTATTTTCAGTTAATTTGAGGAAGGCCTCCCTGTCAAGTCTCTCTCGGCCAGTGAGTAGTTTAAAAGTTGTGATCATGTCCCTTCTTGCTCTCATTTTCCAGCTTCGTCATATCCAGGTATTGCAGCCTCTCTTGATAAGTTAGAAACCTCAGTTCTTGTGTCCAATTTATTGCATGCCTTTGAACCCTTTTCTAGTTTATTGATATGCTTCTTAAGGTGCGGGCACCACCACTGCTACATATTCAAACATAGGTCAGATGTATGTTGTAAGTAACTTGTTAAGCTTATCCCACATTCATTAACTTGAATGTCACTTGCAAATTAGTGAGCAATACGTAAGATCCATTCAGTTTTTTATTTATACTATAATTGTTCTGGGAACATTTTGTTTTTAATCACCTTGTGTCATGACATGTATTCCCTATGTAGCTTACATCTACTTTCACCCCATCAACATCATGGCACTTTTGTGTTTTTAAGTACATTTGTCACTTTGTATAAATCTTGTCCAAAGTGCCCTTGTAATAGGTCACAATTTTTTTTACCCCAGAATTTTAGCATCAGCAAGCAGGTTTATGTAATTAATGATACTATCTAGCAGATCATTCCTGTAAATGATAACCAGTGACAGGGCTAAAATTTAACCCTGCAGGAATAAGCTCGTAGACGTCAAAGTTGAAGCAAGTTCTCGGATTTGAATCCTCATAATTGTTTGTTGGGAAATCTTTTATCCAGTCCAATAACATTCCCTTCTCTCCTCTCAACATGCTAGTCTAAAGAAGAACCTCTCTTGGGGCTCCTTACCTACATCATTCTTAAATCTAGATAAATTCAATTTGTCCCCCTCTTGAATAATCTACTATCATACATAACAATGACCCTATCATACAAACTTAACTAATAGGTTTGCTACACATGATCTCGTCTCTCTGAATCCCTATTTTCAACGTTTTCAACCATTTTAATCTTGCTAGTGTTTCCAGCACTTTATCCCGACACTAGTTAAGGCAACTGACTTACAGTTTAAGGGATCTACCCTCTTCCCATTTTGATGTATGGGCACAATGTTAGTCTACTTTCAACTTTATGCAAGCACACCTTTCTGTACGGGGTGCCATGTACATACAGTAGGCTTTAATGAATGGCTTAATTCCTTGGCTCACGTTAAAAACCCATGAATATGTGCCATCTGGACCAATTGCTTTGTGTGTTTCTAAGTCCTTTAAAAGAATTTTTGCCACATCTTTTGTTCAGAGTTGTTTACGTTCCATAATGGCGACCAAATTCTGAGGGGGGAACAAATTATTCTGGATGGATTTAGATCTGCCATATCGTCGCCCTCTTGACTCTTCTCTATCGCCGCCAGACAGCTGCAACTAATTAATAGGTCTAAACCCATTCTAAAAGCCAGGTATCTCAGTTACAGTGAACAACTATTTTCATGATGAAAGCTTCCCTGCTTCATTGCATAGGAATGGCATAACTAGGCTGTGACTGTTTCATGGGCTACCACTTCAGTAGCTTTTTTTCCCTTGGTAACCTGCTCATAACAGCTTTTGGATGTTAATCCTACATTCCTTAATTACTTTTGTTAGCTCTAGGAACTGCTTCTCTGTTGACCCTGCTCTTACCTAGCACAGTACCTGGTTCATATTGCCTTTCAAGATCTCTTAGCTGGACTTTGATTGCTCTTAAGTTTTTTAAGATATTGATTATCCTTAAAAAATATCTTAATTCATTAACTGGCAGTTTTAGCACTAAACGTCACCAGTTTATTTGTAGCTTCTAGTGGTTTTTCTATCTTCTAAATTCTGTACATAAAATGGGTTCCATCTAAATGTACCAATGAACTGTTAATTCTTCACTCTCCATTTCATAATCATCCAAGACCACCTCTTTCTCTTCAAAGCATCGTTTCATTGAAACTGAATGACTCGGTCAGCTGTCTGTTCCTTTATCAACAAAGATGGTTGCTCCAGTGTCACCTAAGATGGTAGTCCCAGTTTAACTTTTAAGCAGTTAAACTCTCTTCTTGTTACCTCTCGCAAGTCTGCTGCAGATTTTCCTGCCTGGAAGAGTCACTGCTGTTGGGATACCATTAACATACTCTTATATTTCCGTTGTCAAGTTAGAACTCTGGACATTGATGTCACAACTTTCTAGCTTTGTGGTGCATTGGCTGACCATCTCTGTTAGGGAGAGAGTGGCTGGTTCAGAGGATGAAAGTGGCTTGTTCCCATCACAATAGACTTGATAATGGTCCATGACAGACCGAAATATCGTCTCATCTCGCAGAAATTTGCATTGATACACTAAGACCTAGGAGACAAATATTGACAGAGTTCATCTAACACTGTTGGGCGACACTCGAGAACATTCTTGCCTTCTATTAATTACAGTTGCGAAGGGATGGCATAGGCGGATAGTTCGTAATTTGGATGTTGATAAATGGATTGACACCTATTATTGAAGGCAATATATGAGCTTGATAATGGCTTTTTTGTATAAATTTATATTAGTATGTTCTTGTTAGAGATATGTTCACCATTGAGTGCCATTATGATTAATGCATTATGAATGTACAAATAGAATAATTGTTCTCATTGATACAAAAACAAAAAATATTACAAAACCAATGAATGTGGAAAAAGCACAAATTAAATTCAACAGAATATTACAAGAAATGTGAACAAAGTTGTAAATTTTTACTACCTTTTCTACTCGGGGTACAAAATATTCCACAAGAAGTGCGGGAACCATGTCTGACTAAGTAACCACATCATCACTTAAGCAATGAAATAAATGAGAAACTGCAAGAATTTAATAATAATAGCGACATAGAATATCCTGATATGGAGAAAAACTGTACAAGGCTCAGATATCAGGGACACGGAGAGAGAATTTGATGCAAGTGACAATGTTCCCAGCATGAGTCGTACTCCGCCACCACAGCACACGGCTGTAGTTTGGTGCATCTGTGCACATCATGCAGCGGGACCTCATATTCCTATCGAAAATGAACATGTGGAAAATTATTCATTTCAGGATTTATTGACAAGGATTCTGATAATGGCAATTTTTGGCAAGTGTTATCAGTGTGCATAGTGATAATGTAGCACTTTGCTTCGTCAGGTGCCGAGTGTGTTTGGGGCTAGGCTGTGCTTGGATCACTGTTTACAAGATCATCACACCCTCCAGAACTGCTAGTGGTTCATAACTGTGAAAAAACATGTAGATAGCTTCATGTAATGTATATACAATGTGATAAGGGCAAACAAAATTGTGTTTATTGTTTTAAGAATATAATATGGTGTGCATATTAGTGACAAATATATTTGTACATACCAATGTTCCATAGGTGCTGTGATATAAATTCTGCTATTGAGAGCCTAATAGATAATTGTACTGAAAACCATTGAATTGTATTGATACATTTAAAGTATCGTAAAGAACCAACACAGCTTTGTGTATTAAATGCACATGTAACCCTCTGGGAACAACCTCTGCCAGGGTGACCTCATGGAGTTTCCCTAGTAAGCGATCAAAATTTTATGCCGCCTATGGGACATTACTGCACTATAGCTAAAGTGTGAATGACTTAGAAAAGTTATAATTTTCTCGTGATCAGGAATATATTTTAACAATATAAGAAAGCAAAATAATGATTTTTGAATTTTTTCTTACACACAGGAAATGGCTCTCAAAATGCATTCACAGTGCAGGGGCTAGCCCAACCTACACATGTGAAAAGAAATGAAATTGACAACATTTCAGATTGTTCTGAACCCTTATCAGGTCATGACATTGCTATGTCATGACCTGATAAGGGTCCAGGATGGACTGAAACGTCATCACTTGTTTCTTTTTGTATATGTAGGTTAGGTTATATTTGTTTCAGCCATGTTATTGTGCCTTATATTCTGTATAAGTAGTAGTATTGACTATATGCAGGGTTTTGATTGTGTAATTATCCTCTTTAGAATTGTGCTATTTTATCTAACAGGTCTTCACAGTGTGGTAACAAGCAGCCTAGCCAGCAGTATAAGCAACAACAGCAGTGTAATAAACAAAGTTGTTAGCTTATCATCTGTAAGCTCCACACTGCCTTCTCGTCCAAAGACGCATAGACCTCGGATACCCCAGGCCTCGAAGGTAAGCGGGGAAGCCCAAATACGGTAATTAAGTTATACTTAAAGTGCGTAGTATCTAAACTAGACCTAATCAGTCAGGCTGTGAGCAGCCCCATCAAACAGCCTTGTTGACCAGACCAGCAACCAGGAGGCCTAGTGGGAGACCTGTCTACAGGGATGTTGATTCTCAAAATCATCGACAGGTAATTGACCAGAGCTAGGTTATCTCTGATAGTGGAGGAATACTTTATTTATTTTTTTCGGTTTTGTTTCTACTGGGTGATAAATTCTGTAGTGGGTTTACTTCAAATGTCACTTACTATTGCTCAATTATGGTGTACCTTTATACCTCATTATTTTGTTTAGTGTTGCTTCTGGCTGATTGTCATCTCCTGTCCTTGGTCTCCATTCTGGTTTCTATATTTGTGGATCTGGAATGTCTAGCTCTGTTCCTCACACATTGTCACTTTCTGTGAGGCTGCTTCCTTCTCTGCCCAACCTGAGCACAAACTACTGCTCTTTCATTTCTCTGCATGTGACTGTGCAACATCTTTGGCTGGTCTTTTGCTTTTGTTGTTGCTCTGATGCCCCTCGTGACTGGTCTATTTATATGTGGCTCCTCAGTGCTTCCTTAGTCACCTCTTCTCCCAGTTCTCTCTACTTTCTCCATGAAATTATAATCTAGTACTGCCTATTGAAGCAGAGGTTCGTCCTGGTCATCTCGTCATTCTCACAAATGTGAAGCTGTACCAAGGAAAATGGATGAAAGTTCCTTAATTATTTATGATTGGCCATATCAGAACAGATAAAAATGCACATGGCCAGGACTAGTCCACACTGTGTGACCGTATGACTGGACTAGCCACAAAAAAAGTAGTCTTGTTCTGCTACCTGTAAAGTTGCACTGTGCATTATGTAGAAGAGGCAAAGTTGAGGCAGCTGTTGGCCAGCCACCATTCTTCTTGCCTCAACATGTGGCTGTATATTGGATCAAACTGTAACATTTACATGTTATTTTTAATCCATCTTTTACTTTATTTAGGCCGTGATAGCTTGGATATAAGTGTGATGGCTTGGATAAGCACTAACAACTTGTACACTTATATTGTCCCACTTCTATTCCAGTTATTCCCAATACCCATATACTAACGAGCCATTCTCTCTCATAAGTTATGGCGATTAAACGCTATAGAAATAGAACGCATTATGGACATGATGAGAATGAGGGATGTTGGATCACTATGCAAAGAGACATTAGTTTTTGTTTTTTTAATAATAAGGATACAAATGTATTTGATATACAGTATATCCATAATTTACATTAATTTTTTAAAGAGGTTTATGGGTATTTTCTGTTTAGTTGAAATCTCCCTGGAAATACAGTAGTAACAAAACTTTTATGCTAAATTCTTTTTTATTTTAAAGTGTTTGAGGCTTTTAAAACATTAAATTGTTTATCATTTGCATTAGTTCATCATTTGACAAAATGCTTTACATATATTCATTTGTATTATGTACAATGCCACTAACATTTCCTTTTCATTCAGATACCTCTATCTGCAGTGGAGATGCCAGAAGATGCTATGGCAGCATTAGATGTGCAGTTCAGTGGATTAGAATTTGGTACCGAGACCTTTGACTTTACTACAGATGTAAAGACAAGCCCAAGCAGTACAGGTCTTGTAAGCACTACACCTGTCAACACCCGTGACCCTTCTTCTACTCCTCCCGTCACCAAAGATCTCACTTCTGCATCTCTCTCGTCTTCCCTTCCACAATCTCAAAAGGTAGAGTACAGTATCTGTAATTTTCCTTGAAGAGCATTTATTGATTGTTGGGAAAAGAAGAATTGTGTACCATGTTACCTATGTAGAGGTCTTTTAGAGGCATGATTGAATTTTTTTTTTTATTTTTAAATTTTAAGAGGAGATCCAGTAAAACCTCTTTACTTGGACATAATGCTTTGCAACTAGGTATCCAAATTGTCTAAATTTTGAAGAACTTGCAGAATTTTGATCTTAAATATAATTTGTAATCTTATTTGTGTCCAGGTTACATTTGGTAGATGTAGATCTGTTATCAAAAGTTAAGAAAACCAAATTCTTAATTTGTATTCTGAATTGCTCATTTAATATTTCATTACTTATTTATATATTTAATCACCTTAAAGAGAAATGGTACGTGTGGCTTGAATAAAGGTTGTCCTAAAAAAAAAAAAAGAGGTGCTACTGAGTATGGGGATGACAGTAAGAAGCTTTTAGGATGCTAACCAAAGTGAAATCATCTTGTATAACCTTACAAATGAGGTTTCACGTGCTGATTGTAATAACGGCTTCAGCTGTGTTCTTGCTTTTTGCTGATTGTGTAAAGGAAATGGCTATTGCCAGAAATTACTTTGGTAAATGGCATTTCTGTGTGGCTTGCTTTTAACCCCAATTGATGGCCATATGGCAGAGTAACAAGCATGGAACCAAATGGTGATTAACTGAGTGGTCAGTGTGTTTTGCCTAACAATATAGTGGTACTCACTCTTGCAGCTTGGACCTGAGCCCATTCCATTCCCCACCTCTCAGACGAATGAGCGTAAGCCCGCTGGAGGGGCCTTCGTGTCAGGAAACCAACGTAGCAGTGCCAGCAACAGTGCTGCACCTCAGGGTCTGTCGGACCTGACCAAGAATGAGACTGGTGGTGGCACAGGTGGCCTTGGGAGCTTGGTGGGGTCAGCTGGTCAAACTTACCAGTCTTATACCAGCTCCAAGTCATCCTCATCCTTCCCATCCCCACCCTCTGCTCCCTACTCACAGACGCCTTCACAGGTAACACTATTGCCTGCCTTGCTGCACTTACAAACCTAAGATAACCATTTTCCTTATCTCTTTCCCAAGCATTTTTTTGTTAACTTTGCATATAATTGTATAGATACTAAAAATATTGCTTTTGTAAATACAAGACTCAAAATAATGTATACCATATCTGAAAGACCAATTTTGGAGTATGCAGTCAACATGAAAATTATAGTTTCTGAAGATTTTTAATTTTGTTAAGACAAGTTATTTGCTATCCTTCTAGTACTGTGGTTGAACTGAACTGAAGGAATTGAATGGGGAGGATAGGTAGAGAGGGTGGGTAAAGTCTGTCATAACTGGATAAAAGAACACTAACTGGGTATCGGGTCACATCAGCCAAGATATTTGGGTATTGAGATTGTGGGCATTGTCAAACTGTTCATAAGGTGGTGATAGAGACTAATATGGCTTATAAATTAGTGATATTTAACATGCTTCTTCAGTGCAAGGATAGTGAGTAGAATGCACTGTGGCGTAATGATAGCTCATTCGGCCTCCCATGCTTATCTTGAGGTTATCTTGAGATGATTTCGTGGCTTTAGTGTCCCCACGGCCCGGTCCTTGACCAGGCCTCCTGTTTGTTACACCCTCCATGAAGGGCAACCAATGGTTTTACACCAGAGCCAAGATTTGCACGAGGATAGCCAAATGTCACTCCCCTGAATGTGGACCGTATTGAGACATAAAAATAAGAATAGCCATAAACGAGAGTAACCCGAAAGTTCATTCCCACAAAAGTGCCATCCAAATGGCTACAAACGTTCTCGCCATGATATGAGCCAACTGCAGATGAGAGGGACCCACAACCCCTGGCTGGTATGGTGAGAGCTGGATACAAACTTTCAGCTAACACGAGTCCTGACTCATGTTAACAACTGGCAAATATTTTTTTCTAATTCTGTACTTTTTAAATTTTTGTTGTTCCACATTCACTACTAAAATGTAACAAAAATTGTGGGAGCTCCCAAGCACTGTCAACAGCTGATATATGGTTTGTGTGTATTGTTGTTCAAGCAAATTGTAAATTGAGACGGTAGGCTCAAACTACCGATAAACAAGTTCAGTATTTCTGTTTTGGATATAAATGGTGGGCATACCGAGAGAGCGACCATGACTAGTGAAAGCTGCAACAGAAATGGGGTTGGTACAAGAATTCAACCAACTACGAGCCATTTATTTTGATGAAAGGGAGCAGTAGAACACATGCAGGGTTTGGTGTGTGTGTGTGCAGCAAGAAATGAGATCTCATGGTCCTTTAAAAAATGAACTTGTGGAAACTTATACATATCCAGGATTTAGTGACCAGGATTCTGATATTAGAAGTGTTGTGGCTAGAGTTAGCAATGTGCACAGTATACCGGGAGGGGCTCTTGCTTTGTTGGGTGCCGTCGACACTTGACTAGCACATGGAGCTGTGCAGTGCTTGGATTACAAGATTACCAAACCCATCAGACTTGCTTAATGGTGCATAATTGTACATAAAAATGTGTATACAGTGTTATAACAGCAAAACCATTCATTTTATTAGTAAAAGAATATATTGTGTGCATATTAGTGGCACAAATACATCTCTACATTTTATACGTCTGTCATAAATACATTATATAACCTAATTGACAGCCAACTGCTTTATTGCACTTGAAACACACTGAATAAAGGCATTAAAAATACAAAGAAAATATAATATATTCAATGCATGAAGTTACAACTTTGTGCAAAATATGCAGGGGCTAGGCTGAACTTTGATCACTGGGTACTGGATTATTACATCCACCAGAACTGCTTAGTGCTTCATAATGCTTCGTAAAAATGTAGATAGTTATGTATAATGTGTGTGTACATAGAGTAATAACAGAAAAAAAATAGTGTTTTATTGTTCTAAAAATATAATACAATGCACACATTAGCAACATTAATATTGAGCTTTCCAATGTTCTTCACATTTTATTACATATATTTCTCAAATGACATCCTATTGAATAATATTACTGTAAAAAATTAGTAAAAAAAAAAAAAAAGTGTCACATTGAAATAGATATATAAAAATATCTGTGGTAACTCCTGCTCCACCTCCAGGGGCAAATGCTCCACGAATGCTCGTGAATTGTGATGTCATCACAACATTTCCTTGCTCCATCCACCATAGCCAAAATAATTTGAGTAATTTTTTTGTTTATTATGGAATGTATTTTAACTATAGAAATAGAATGAAAAATATTTCTGCATTGTTTTCCTGCATATTGGCTCATTATTCAGTATAAATTGTGCAGTGCAAGGGTTAAATACAGTATTGAAGGTTTTTGTTCATCTGAATATAAATAGGAACTGTCTTGTATGGGCCAATAGGCCTTCAGTAGTTTTCCACTGTTCTTACACTCTTTATCTGATGAAATAATTGACTTTTCTACAGAACTCGTACACAAGCAGCAGTCAGCAAGTGAGCAGCGGGACAGGTAACAGTAACAATGGTGGTTACAGTAATGCCAACAGTGGCACAGGAGGCACTAACAGCAATACCAGTACCAACAGCAGCCAAACTCCAGGAGGCTATGGATCAAGTTTTTCTGCTCAGGTAAGTTTGAGGCATCTTAAAGTTTTAATTGTATGCAATGTAAATGATGTAATAGTACCTGTTGAAGATTCTGGGGGTTAATGTCCCCATGGCCCAGTCTCTTACCAGGCCTCCTGGTTGCTGGTCTGATCCACCAGATGTGGATCAGATCCACATCTGGTGGACTAGTTGTTGCTGATCCCAGTAAAAAGGTGAAGCCTTAGAAGAACTACTGGATTAACCAGTGAGTGAGTATGGCCAGAATCCATGGGAGCACCAGAAAACATCTTCAAGCTGAAGGGCATAGGAAGAAGAACTTGATTAAGAGACCACCATTCAGAAATTCCAAAGGAACCCTCCCAGATGAAGTACATTTCTTGAAAGCCTCGTAGAAGCTTGTGACTCCATGTGCAATGACCAGAGTCACCTGGAGCCTCCCAAACTTCTCACAAAGCCACAGGAGGAAAATCATAACTATTGCTCTTTAAACCAAGATCAGATGGAAGCAGAACAAACTATTCATTAGAATTCAAGGCAGACCAGTGTAGAATGCAGATTGAACCCAGTCAGAGATTGGTACTCAGAAGCACAAAACCCAAATAGCCACATACATACCTCTGCAACAAAGCTACGTGCCTCCTGCAAGCAGGAATATGACCAAAATCATAACTGCTTAGGTGACAACTGAAGATGTAGCTCAAGTCTAGAAGAAAATTGTCAATAAATGGCTTGAGTGATGGCGGAGGAGAGCACAAATAAACTGCTGTTTTAAAATCCCCAGCTGACCTTGATGCAGGCAGAAACTGGGCTTCAGCAATATGAAACATCCAAAAATAAGTAATTCATGAAAGTTCTGATATGTCTGGTGAAAAAGTGTTGGTCCCATGGTACCAGTACATAAATTATGTGAAGCCACTGAGGGAAGGGGCCCCTAGAATGAGGCATTTCTTTGTACTTATACTCGGCACTCTGCTGTTTTTACACATCCCTGCATAGAACCTATAATTCAATGCACTACAGTATGCAGCTATACTTTATATATATTAATACATCTTCAATACATCTTGCATTTTGCTTCAAAGCCATATCTTTTCAAAGCCCATTTGTCATTTGAATTTAGATTAACGTACAAATTTGCTCCTATTCAATATATAAATTTTTTGTAGGTATAGAAAGGTTACTTTTTATTTAATTTATATATTTAATTTTTCACCAGGCCACTGGTGCGGGCAACAGTAGTAGCCAGTACCAGAACAGCTATGTTAATGCCTCTAGTCATTCGCCTCTGGTCTCCATATCAACCCCTAAGACACTGGCTGGGCTATCAACTGCTCCCTCTGTTAAGGATACCACACAGGTACTTGTGATGCTTTTTGCACGGCTAAAGGTACTGTAGCTCAAAATAAGAATTAATGGCATCAGGCGGATTGATAGAGATTGGTTAGGGATTGACAGATATTTCAGTTATATTGGTTAAGGTTGAATATATATTGACAGATTTGGCAAAATAACTCTAGTGTTGAGACTTCAGTAATGCCTTATTTTAATTAAGTTTTTCTTTAGGCACTTGTGCATGTGCAATGCATGCCCTTTTTAGCTCAGTTGGCCCCTTACTGTTGTAACCCAGTGAACTGGAGAACTGTTTGAAATCTGGATAAAGGCATAAGTAGTTACAGTATTTAAGGGAACAACTTTGAACCTCTTAAGGTCAGGGCCATTAACATGCATTCTTTGGAAACTGAAACAAGTAGTGAGGAAGACAATAATGAAGCACCTAGGGAGAGCAAAGCTTTGTAACAAGGGGAGCAAACAAAGGGGAAGGTGTGTAGAAGGAGAACATTGTTTTAGAGGAGGTATGTCTGTGTTGTATAAACTCCGTCTTTTTTTTTAGGCTGCAAACAAATTTATATACTGTTCTACAAAAAAAGCTTGAGTATGAGATTAAGATAAGATTATTTCTGCCCAAAACGCTGCACGTACAAGTGGCTTTACAAGATTGTAATTACTATGCTATGTATCCTCACAATCCCAATGTACTTTCTTGTATATATATAAATAAAATAAAATAAAATAAATTAAAAAACTAACTGCATTAACTAGAAAGAGACTGAATTGGGTAAGGGAGTACCTGACTGACAAGAAACAAAGCCAATGGAGTGAGCTTGTACATAAATGTTTATAGATGATAGTTTAGCAATCAAAAAATTAAAGTCTGAAGACTGTCCAGTGCTGCAGGGGGATGCTGAGGAAACTCCAGGCATGGCTAGACAAATGGATTTTAGTTTAACAAGTATATGGTAATAAAGAAGGAAGGTGCGAGTGAAGATCAGAAGGAACCTATTCTTTGTGCATAGCAGTTACAAGAATTGGATAACAAAAAAAAAAAAAAAGACGAGTATACATATAGTTCTACGTAAAATTCTAACATTTATACCAGACATGTATGTAAAAAGGATGACATCAACTCCATATTTGAAACTGAATGTGATAGCATGATGTTTCTATATTCTTTTTATGGTATTTTTACTCGGGCAAAATTTGTTGGGGGAAGGTATGGCAAGATTTCACACAAGTGGCTCACTTGGACCACTTTTGTCAAACAAGATATATTATCGTGCTGTACTTACATGACTAGGCCATAGTTATTATTTTAAAATGTTTTCTAAAAGTTTGTTCAAATGTTATGATTTTGTAATAAACTGTAGTACTGTACTGTATTTGAAGACTGAATGTGTGCAATTTCTTAGTCTGCACAGTACAAAAACATTTAAATTATAATTAAATTGGCTGCTTTTGAGCAACCAAAGTTTCTTGATGTGGCATAGTCATCAAAATCTGAAAGAAGAAAGAATGTTTTGAAATTAAATCAAATTTGCCCAATTTCCTGCAGAGTTACGGAGAGCAAACGTCAACGGGGGGCTCTGCGTATTCCAGTACTTTGTCAACCAGTGCATCGGTTAGCAGCAACAGCACTAGTAACAGTACGGGTCCTGCAGTTCTTTCAGCTTCACTAAATTCAGCCACTTCACATCCTGTCCAACCCTCGAAGCCTTCAGTGCCAGGTTTGTGTCACATCTCCCGGGTTCCTATGATTCCTCATGGCATTTGTATGTGTATGATGATAACATTAAACAAGTTAATATAGATGATCTCTTCATCTTAATATTTTGCGTAATTTTCTGCTAGATATAGACTACTTTTTATCTAATTTTCTTGTTTATATTTGATACAATTACTGTATATTACATTACATACTACAGATGTTAATGTAGTAAGCACTAAACACATTAGTTAAACAGTTAAACTGAAAGAAAATTATGTAGTCATTTTTTAATGTTGAATGCTTGTGTTCAACATGCTATGTCTAATCATTTAACTGTTTGTATACTTTCCAAAATGCATATTTAACCTCAGTATTCTATATTGTGTTATATTATGTTGAAATATGTTCCCATAATTTAGGAATTTTTTAGTGCTGGCTATTAACACTTTCGCGCACCCCCCGCGCCACCCCTCGACAGGGCGATATGGGCCCCAGCGTGTCACGGAAGCGCGCGTCAATTCCGAAAAGTGTATACTCTCTTCAACTTTGTCACCTCAATTTTCGTTCTACGAGATTAAATTTGGTATCATTGTGTTCGCAATAAAATTCTCTACAGCACTAAATGCATATAAACTCCAAAAGCCCGGCTAATTACCCGCAGCAAGCAGAGAAAGTGCGAACGAGTTACCCGGGAGCGCGCAAACGCGATAAAATGTTTTCACTATTTTCACTCTGGTCACCTCAATTTTCGTCCTAGGTCTTTCATTTTGGTCTCAATGGGTTCGTAATTGAATTATCTAGAGGAATATTAGCATATAAAATAAAAAACCTGGTCACGCTCCAACCGCCGACGAGTTGAAGACGGGCCACGCGTTAGCCGTGAGTGAGCGCTCAGACGCCTTCCCGCTACACTCCCAATTCCCGCCCACATATGTTTAGTATTATTTCCTGGTGGTAATCTCAATTTTCATGTTACAGCTCTCATTTAGGTATGAAAATGTTCCTAATAGAATTCTTCAGATGGATATGTGCATATAAGGGCCAATTGAAGAACAACATTGCCTGTACAATACGGGAAACGGGCAAATACCCATCAAGATCGTCAGTCCCATATATCTAGCAATTTCCTTCACTGTCACTGGTTGCCATCTGTGCTTTGTACTTTGCCCAGTACCTGCCTTATTTTGGGAAGCATATAAATTTGTTTCATAGGCAATATATTTCAGCAATTTTTGTGTCAGAAAGAGTTGAATGAATCCAAGAACAGTGGTAGGTACAGGAACAGTCAAGCCTGGTGTACCTGTAAAATTGTCCACAAAGGGTGCAGTATTGTCACTACACCATCCATCATCAGAATCTGTTGGTGCTGGGGTACGTGTGGTACGTGTGGTACGTCTGGCTCTAGCACGAGCTCCAGTACCACGCCGTGCACGAGTGGCAATCTCGACCTCAGACTCCTCACTGCCCTCACTTTCATCACTATCAAAATCCTCATCGGCCGTCTCTGTTTCTAAATGTTCACTACTTGCATCAGTATCAATACCAACATCAGTTTCATCACTAGATGACCCAGACAAATCGTCAAATACAGCCTGAAACTTAGAGGGAGTTAGTCTCACATGCTTGTACTTCTCCTGTACACTACTCAGCTTCTGCTTTTCACGCCTTTCTTTCGCAATTTTCTTCCTGGAAGGGCCTTGTTCATAATCACTATCCATCGTGGAGTAATCGTAGATAGTTTCTGAAGCCGCAGCAAGAAATATAGCCACGGAAAATAGCCGAAATGTTCACACGTTTGAGACGCGAGGGGAGGCAACACCGGTCACAACAGTGGAGCAAAAACAATGGGCCGACGGCGTGTGCCGCGCCGCCTGCGGGCCACTAGGCGCAACAAAGAAAATGGGAAGACATCGGCGCGCATTTTAAAATTAGTCCCAAAAAAATCGGATAAAAACCCGATTTTTGGCGAATTTTTAAAGTGGATGACGCAATGCTGCGTCATCCCCGGCATTACCGCCAGTAAACGGATGACGCAATGCTGCGTCATCCCCGAGCGAAAGTGTTAAGAAAGAAACT